GTACGTAACATTACATCTAACTGGAAATAAGAACGTCGAAACGCAAGAGAAAACAGCTGAAAACGAAACAGACTACCCCACTACGGAGTGGATAACTTCAAATGCGTTTATCTCAAAAAGTCATTTTCACACGTTATGCTCTTTTTACCAGAGCTCGTCACATATACTGAAAATCTTTTCGATATGTAAACTATTGTCGATCCAACGAGACAAGTCAGTAGAAAGAACTAAAACATTCACGTGCTAAGCTGAGCTATTAGCTGGCAACTGTCTGTCTCACACAGACCTGGGCGCTTCTGAAAAGATATTATTTGAAATAATATTTCAAATAACACATTACTTTATTTCATAATTATTTCCATGCCTGTGATCCCGTCTGAAATAAAATTATTTCAAATATTATTTCTAATAACATGTTATTTTATTTTCTAATCATTTGAACTAATTCTTAGATATAATTGTGAAATTGTTCTTTGAAATTATATCAGGTGACTAGGTCTGGGTTTAGTTTATTGACAGTTTTCTGAAGAGTAACACCCCTTTTTTCATCTTTCACACCAGTGGAACGATTATTTTCTTTCACGACAATATTAGATAATTGCTGTAAAGATTTCTTAAAATATAATCTTTTTGTTACATATCTTAATTCTATTTCTTTTGCCAAATTTGAAATACAAAAATAACAAAATAATTCATTGTTTGAAATTACTATTATTTCAAATGAATCGATAACATTTTTATTTTCAAATAACAGTATTAAAAACAAAATTCTGAAATGAATTATTTCAAATAGTTATTTCTTATTTTCATTTCAAATAAAATTCGTCCAGGTCTGGCCCCACCTAAATGGTCATCACCTTCCTTTGTTTATATATAGTTATTGACTCGACTCGTTGGATGAGGTACAAAATTCTTGATTGACGTTCTACATTAATCAAATATAAATTTCAATCAGTGAGTGATAATGTTTTTGATTTCAAAGGTCGTTCCTCCTTCGTGAAAAAGCATCGTTCAGCCTACCCAGGTTCGCTTGATGAATTCAGCAGCCCGTTCGCCGATCATGATGGCAGGAGCGTTCGTGTTGCCGGACACGACCCTGGGCATGATGCTGGTGTCGGCCACTCGTACGCCTCTTACGCCCCTAACCCTCAGCTGATTATCCACAACGGCCAAAGGATCGTCTGACGGTCCCATTTTGCACGAACCAGCCTGATGATTTTCTGGCGCTGTGTCGTGCTTCATGGCACATTCCCAATAAGCGTCGCAGCCGAACTTCAGGTGTTCGCAATTCTTGACCGGGGTACGGTCCAATTGGAATCCATATCTATCAAGGAAGATAATGCTTGTTTTTACTAGGGACAATGATATTAAAACAAAAAAAGACTACGTAACGACAAAGTTGGTAATGATAATAATCGTAATCAGTTTACGAGTAATGATGCTAACACTGGTCAACATGATTTTAGTCACAGAAAAATTTCATCTATAATCTATATCACGTGCAACTTCATCAGGAGTTATATGGAACAGAATTCGAAAATCGCGTTCGATTTTTCAGAAACTCTTGCAACAAGTAGACGAAAGTGATTCTTTCCTACAAAGTGTTTTATTTACGGATGAGGCGACGTTTACTAACCATGAGGATGTTAATCTAAAAAACCATCCATTATTGGTCACAAAGCAATCCTCGCTGGATTAGAGAGGTTGATCACCAACGACAAAGGAGTGTCAATGTATGCTGTAGTATACTCAATGATGAGATATTTAGACCATATTTCATTCATGGACAATAACAGGACGAAAATACGCAAGTTTTCTTACGGAGATATGACCAGGTCTGTTACAAGATGTATCATTACATATCCGCCTATCAATCTGGTTCTAGCATGATGGTTGTCCTGCACATTATGCCAAAGAATCACGATAAGCATTGCAGAGACAATTTCCGAATCGATGGATCGGTCGCGGTGAAGAGTTTCTGTGGCCACCACGTTTACCGGATCTTACACTACTAGACTTTTTCTTGTGGGGAACTTTAAAAGATAAAGTGTACTTTAACCCGCCAACGGCACAAGAAAATATGAAACACAGAATTCAAGAAGCGTGTGATATACTTATTTCAGGAACAATTAACAATGCTGTTTCTTCATTAAGACTTAAAGCAATAAAAAACTACGGGTTTTATTAGAAACAATAATTTTAATGAAATAATTCATGAACATTTATTAATTATTTTTAAAAAGTAATCCATTTTTATCATTTTAGGCTTTTATCATTATGAGTTTTTAAGATTCTTAAAATGTTCCTGAAAAACCGGAGGGATGTATGGTAGTAAACACATAATATCTTTATGTTTTTCTTCCGTTACTGGTCTAGTGGTGGTGTATAATGGAAGTAATTTAATATTTCCGTATATTTTTGGTCTTCCTCTTTTAGGTGAAAGATCCAAAACGTGGAATTTAGAATCATCTAAAGAAGTTTTATAGAATATCTTATAAGGTTCATTTTTCAAGAATCTCATCCATTGAATTTGCAGCCAAGAGACAGATTCGCCCGCGGTATTTTTTACTCTTCTTGTCGTTGACTCTTCTAGTGGTTTCGTTGAAATAAAATCCGGCTGCGACATTCGTTTTACCGAAAATGTATTTCTTCTTCTACACTTTTCTATCAATTCATAATAATGCTCAGGGTTGTATAAGTAATTTGCTTTTTTTATTTTCATTTCTATCAACCCAAAATCACGGTCATTCGGTAGAAAGGAATGACCAGATACCAAAAATTTGTGGTTATGTTCATATAATTTCTTTAAATTTTTGACTTAGACCACTTTCATAATTAACACTAAATGAATTCCATATAATGTTGAAATTACAACCACTATCTAATGGTTCATTTTTGACGATATCGTAAAAATTACATTGAATTAATTTAGTTTAAAATAATGTGGTGTGAAATAACTGATGAAATCATTTTTTTTAAATTTTGACTTAGACCACTTTCATAATTATGGGCACATATGTAGTTCGAATTGTAAGATTTTTAGTAAGGGATCGTTGGTATTTTTGTTTGTCTGTTACTGTATGTAGAGAGAGAATGATCGTACCTGCTGAGAGCATCGGTCTCCGCCAACTTGATGCTGAATTTAATACCCTCAAGGAGGCCGGCCACGTCTTCTGGATGGTTCAGGTATTTCGGATAAATCATTGGCTTCGATAAGGGATCGTTGTCCCGCAGACGAATATAACCGCGACTTTTCGGATGTAAATATGTAGGAATTATGTAGATCGTGCGATTCGCACCCTTTGACTCGCCGACCATGCCGGTTTCCGCGCAGTCCGCCAAATAACCGCCAAAAATCAGTTGGATATCTGGATGGTCCTCCTTTGGATTCGCATATTTTGTGTTCACCATGGCGGTCACTTCAGATATGCCTGTTAAATAGGGAGAAAGGCGACTTCGTAAAATATTTTTCTTACGAAAAATAGATGGACAGATGGGAGAAATTTTAAAAATGATTAAAAATTCAATTTAGCGTAAGATTTGATTTTTTCCAAATTACACTGCTGTCACGTGATGGGATCCCCGTGCGTCAAACACAGATGCCATTGTTAATTTTTATATTTACTGCGTCTTCGACGGGCGAAACGCGTGTTCTTAATAAAAGATTATTTTTGTTACACATACGTGTCATTTTACTTTCATTTCGTTCAAATTCCATCTACGCGCTCGCAAGTAAAATACGCCGGCCTACATTAGAGTGTGAATTGATTACCCTCGTAGCGATTTCATATGAAATCTATTATAATGAACGCAGGTTATCGATATGGTAAAATATACATTGAAATACAATTGAATCTCGATTGTGTGAACTAACAGGCTGAAAAAATGTCGAATAAAAACAGTGAAAAAGTTTATTCGAATTTTTAACGGATGCTTTCTTTTAAATAGCAAAATATGTTACATTTACATACTTCATTGTATTTCGTAAAAATCTAATTACATCTGATACATAACATTGTAATTTTTCAGTCTCCAATTAAGTCAAACATTACGTGATCTAGAAATATATCCTGTCATGTATGTACACTTCTAATGTGGGAAATCGAAGGAACAGATAAAATAAAAACTAGCTCCCGCGAGCAACTGCGTATTCGGAACTATTTGCTTCATTTATCGAATACTTTAAAAAGCACTTTATTTTGTGAATGTTCGAGATTTATGAGTTACCTACACAAGGAAAGGGAATAAATAATTCCAGTTGAAAGAATGTTACTTATTTTTGGTAAATTTGTTAACTAAGGGTAACATAAAAATGTAAATCATTTAAATTCAAACAAATTCGAAGAATCGATTGCTATGATTAAAATTCGTTTCTAAAGTTTTAATAATTTCCTGTTAACTACAGACATTACGTTTTTAATAAAATGACCATTGTAAAAAGTACTTTTATAATAATATTGGTAAATTTTTATAAAAAAATGTTATTTATAATTATGTACTACAGACTCCTCTCGATTATCGTTTCGCTTGTTCTATACGATTATTGTCGAGGCGTTGTCCAAGCGCATATTTTGATGCCTCTCCGCCTAAAAAAACTAATTTACGAGGGTCTGAAGCATTTCTTTCTATATGATTAATTTAGACTGCGGATTTTTATGCACGTAAAATATGCACAAAGCTTATGGAACTTATACTCGAAAAACATGCGAATATGAACGAAAAATATGCGTATGCACACGGAAATCTTCAATGTAGATGTAGCACATGTAAGATTCTCTGAACTGGTTTAATGCATATGCTTTCTGCCTACAATATGCAAAACATATCTAATATGCAAAGTAGTAAAAGTATATCGAAATATCCTTTTGCATAAAAATCTGCAGTCTGAATGATTCTTGTCCCGACGCGGACCCGAGTTCGTGACGACAATTGAGAGGAATCGGTATGGTGTATTGATAAATTATTGACTTATCCGTCTAGATTTGTTAAAATAAAATTCGTAATCGAGTATAATAATCGAAGTGATGTATTCAAAATCCATGACGCCTAGATGTGAGAAAACTAGTGAACACATTTTCCGTTGTATCTTGAACTGAAAGTGTCCTGTTTTGCAGGCAATTATCCAGGTGATGTTACGAAAAGTTGTACATAAACTCCGTATATGAAACACACGGTGAGAAGAAATCTCGTAATAATTTTAATAAGATGGAATCTAGCAACATTGCGGTTTATCGTTGTTATCAGTAATATCAGGAACCATATTATGAGTACAGGTAGATTGATTAAGAGAAAGATGCTAGACAAAGCCTGTGTGAAAATGACGCGTGGAAAATTAAAATTGTTCAAACTGCAGTAATCTTACATCTTTCCTCAAAATTTATACATATTCAATAAATTATGAAACATTGTATGAATGGAATAGTGTAATAAGGAAGTCGATGTCTCTTGATCCAAGAATTGAGTACACAGTCCCAATAATCTGGGTGATGATGATAAATAGAAATCTAAAATTATTCACAGTACAGTAATCTACTTCTTCACAAAAGCTGCATATGTATATTTAAGAAATTCAGAAACATTGTATTAGTGAAATAATGCAACGAGGAACTCGAAGTCTCTCGTTCCAAGAATTGAGTTTATATTCTTAATAAATTAGAAGTATATGGAATTATTAAAAAAAAAAGGAATATGGATGAATGGAAACCTAAAATTATTGGAAGTACAATACTGCTATATCTCTTCCTAAAATCTCCAAGTATTTAATTAATTCAGAAACACTGCACGGTGAAATTATTGCAACAATGAACTCCTTCCATCCAAGAATTGCGGTTAAATACCGAATAATTCCCGGTCGGTTTGGGTTTCACTTAACGATCGACTGATATCCTTCTAAACGGATCATTTAGAGTCTCCGTCCGTGGAAACTTCACAGCGTAATTAAAGTCCCGATTATGGTTTTTCGGAGCATGTCGTGCACCTCGCATGAGATTTCAGCGCTGAAAAACATGAACCGAGGAACGCTGCGAACGCGGTGACGGTTGTTGCGAGAGGCAACAAATGCCGGAACCAACGACTAATGGAGTTACGAATTAAACGCTAATCGGCTGAATTCTGTAGCGAGCCGTACACTTCTTATTGGTCTCGCGGGAGATAGATCGTGGAGATAGATTAGATCCGTCGATCAAATGGCGGTTGACAGACCGTAAAACTCAACTGGCCCTCCGAATAGGGAATCTTCGATTTCGATTCGATTCTTTTGGTTTAAAGATCGATCTTTTGAATCGATTTTTCTGAGGATCAATTCTTTACTCTGAAAATCGAGAACCAATTTTTCTGTCTTCAATTTTTTTTTTTAAATTTACGACCTGATCGTGTAATTATGTGTGTGTACAGTAATGTCTCAAAGAGAACGTAGAGGGGACATATAGTCTCTTTCGGGACATCCTCCTGAACGTTCCTTTTTCCGGACGTACATATGACGTTTTCGTGCTATTTGGGATATATACATATATAAAACTAGATTAATTACTAATAATTACATTAACATATTATGTGTTCATATAGTATGCTAATGTAATTATTATATACGCTTTTTTATGATTCGATTCAGAATTGATCCGAGAATTGATTATTTAAATGGAATCGAATGTCCCTACCCCGAATGGTTCGGTGGGTTGGACCAACAGAGGGAGCACCGGGAAATCCTCTGACAAATCGGCACCCAGTTGCATCATCGTTGATCGGTGAACATGAACCAGATCATTGTGCAATACGCTTTCACTGGATAACAGGTAACACGCCACTCTGAATCAATCGTTTTGGATGCAACTCGTTCGACTGAACGGGTTCGTCCTGGTTGTGTCTTTCCTATCGTTCCTTCCCGAATACGGCTTGAAGTTGATACAGCTTTATAGGCGTAGCTAGATTATTATATAATATTACTTTAAATGGATGTTAGATTTATGTTTACATACAAACTACTAGTTAATACAATTTTTTTGGGGGGGAGGGGCAATTGACTTTTTTCCCTTTACGGTAGGGTAAAAGCCACTTTTTTCGTTCAGAGGAGAGGGGATGAGGACTAAGTGCCCCTCACTGCCTTTCTGGCTACGCCTATGTACTGCTTTGCGATGTTTCGGGTTGTTTAGAGTACTTAGAGAGTGATTTGGCGTGTCCCTTTTAGGGCCAATCTAGACGAACGGTTTGTGGCAGTTTGCTGCATCATTTTACCAGATCAGAAAAATATTTCCGATGATTTTTGCAATGGGATAATGTGTCTTAGATGGCATTAGTTTATTCAACAGTATGCAGAATATGCTTGGTAAAACACCTATCTCAAGTTCACTGTTTTAAAAATTTTAACGTTATCGAGTTCTGTTGCTCAGTAAGAACTACTTTTTTTTACTATGCACTTTGTTATGGTAAGTTTAGTGTCTTTGTATTTTATAACCATGAACATGAAAAGTTATAAACACTTTTTTGAACTGTAGAATTCCATCAAACAGTCTTTACCCTATTCCCAAAAACAACGGAGATATTTTAGATGCCACGAATAAACGGACCAGCCTGTAGCTAGCTTTCGAAATATATGTTTGAAACTAACGAATTTATAAACAAAAGTAGAGGTTCAGAATGTTACCAAAAATTTGTACTTCAATTAAACATATTAAATAATAATAAATACAAATAAACATGTATGCTTCTGGTCAATTAATACAAAAACTTTGCAATATACATAGTCTGTGTCGTTTCTTAAAGTGTCAGTATTGAGTCTTCTACTCTGTACTAATTATGGTCATCGTTTTGTGAGCGATTCTACTCCTCTGATGTATAAACGAAATAACAGGAAAGAAAGTAACTGAAAATACGTAATATATTCCGAGACATTCGGGCAATTAATAATTCCGTCACATTTCTGATAATTAGACTACGAATGTTTATGAGTTCATAGCATAAATTTAAAACATATTAAAATAAACGTTTCTGATAGATCCTTTATCGTGGTGGAGCCCCTTAGTACAGAATATAATGTTCTATCCACTTTTAAATTCTACGCATTATCATTCGAAATTGTGAATTTGCATAAATTTCTGCCGGTCTACCGACAATAAAGTCTTTTTAGTAGCGGTGAAAAGATCGTTTACCTGTGCCGGACATCAGGCCATCCCTGAAGAGAAGGTACTCCATCGCAGTAGCCCAGTTGAGGGGAGTGGTGTCGGTGTCGTTGATGGTGAAGGTCAGCGTGTAGGCGACATGATTGTGAAGATTTCTGCCGACGCCGGGCAGATCGAGAACAACCGGTACACCAACCGCGTGTAAATCTTCCCGCGGCCCGACGCCGCTGTTCAGAAGTATTTGCGGCGAATTTACAGCACCTTAAATCAAAATCGTTGACGATATGTAAATGATCACACCTGAGAAAGCCTTCGTTCGTGTCACTGAACTTTCAATGGTAATAAAGGAACGTGACAGAGGATTTTTAAAATACAATGTTGACGTTCGATCATATGACACAAGTACACGCTGTCTTCCTTATTTAAAATGTGAAATCTAATAGATTATAGTTTTTCCAAACTTTTTAAAATATCTGGAGCTCCATATGCTTCTCATTTTTTCGTTAAAAAAAGAAGTGCTTGAAAAAAATAAAAAAATTGAAATGGAAGTGGAATATGAAGTCACGGAGGGATTGTTGTATGATGTAGGAATAGCTAATTAAAGGTAAAAAGTTTGAACAGTGCTCTAGACACATATGATTAACTCGAGAATGAAAAAAAAAACTTGCAATGCGTGTTTCCCAAAACGTCAAGATAAAAAGTGTAATTACTTTGGATCACTCGTGGATAACTTTGGATCACTCATTTTTTTTATGGACAAATTTAATTTGACTAAAATTTAGTACATGCCCAAGATCGCCGGGTTGTTTTTTTGGATTAAATATAGGTTAGATAGGTAAGGCCATAGCTATTAAAATACACATATTAGAAGTATACTGTTTGTTTTTTGACTTAAGATAATCATGTGTTCTGATGGCGCCCGTCAAGACCTACAACGTCTACAGTAGTATAATGAGTGCTATATATATAAAGTAAAAATTGATAAAATTTAAACAATACAATATTTTTTATTCTTCAAGTATGTAATTCTAAAGATTAAAACGGCTTTTTACCGTATGCAGTTCTATTGTTTTCTGTGTAAATCCATGAATATTACGTACTTATCGAATATGTTGACCGAAGATCACCTTTAATAGATAACGAAACAACTAATATATTTTCGCTTTGTCATGGTAATATAAAAGATAACTACACCTGATTTAGTATCATTCAAAAGAGAAACGAATCTTTACAAGAAAGCAGCACTGACTCTATTATGAAATCGGTACACTTTTTGGACAAAATGTCACTGACCATAAATTGAACAAAGGTCCAATTGACAATGGCTGAATTGGTTTCAACACGGGGGGGGGGGGATATTTACCCATAGTATAAAAATCTAAAGCGTGGACAACCTTGGGCCTGATGTTTCTCGTATTATAACTGCCCCCCCTCTCCTCCCTTCGAGAGCCATTAGCACTCATTAACCGACCGTCCTCTGAAGTGTCCGTCTCGAAGTGTCCTCTTCCGTTACGATCTTTGCTGATTTTTGTCATTTGAAGGACATGCAATTTCTATCGTCTCTGCGAGAATAGCCGGTTGATTGTTGCCATTAAAGCGAAACTGGTTATTTAGACGTTGGAGAACTAATTACTATTGAAATAGAGAATTTCCGAATATGCGTGTCCAAGGACATCCATAATTACGATACTCAATGCGTAATCAATGATATTGGTTTCCACATTTTCTAAGGTGCAGTAGTGTCTCTCGTATCCGAACAAATCGTTATACGAATATCTTAATATTCGAAAGTACCTACCACTGTTCAAACATTCTACTATTCGAATATTCTGTTATCCGAACAAAGTGCCTCCCAGCAACAGGTGCCATCTGCTGTTACAAGTATGTAATGCTTACATACAATGTACATTTTCTTCTGTTCGATCGAATTCGGTTCAAAATTCGATAGAATCTTACGGTTTAAACATTTCTGTAATTTAATAGCCGAAAGGATATTGGATCCGCAAATAAACGTTAGTATGAAAAATGTTATTGATCTATTATCCGAACACTCATGTCTCTCTATTAGTTCGGATACGAGAATCTTTACTGTACTACAAATATCATTACTAGACTATAGATGTTTATACAAATTATCGATTCTAGACACTCATTTATAATCATGAAAATTACATAGATATTCATTACCCGGAGTAAATATCTTATTGTGCTAATAGTTACATGTAAGTATTATTAAATTTGATTAATGCCTTTATTTTGCTGTATTTTGCTGTGTATTAACCTATATTACCCAAATTAATGTTTACTGTTCAAACAGTTTTTATTTGTTCATACTGTTTACTGTTGACGAGTTAAACACATGAAACTAAAATTTTGAATCTTGTAGGTTTTAGTTTCTTCGAAACAGGTGTCTGACTCGAAGATTACACTGGGCCGTAGGAAAACATTTTCATTTACTCAATAATGGAAAAACTGGTACGTGATATCAAAGTTAGATAGCGTTAACTAGACCACCCGGACCGCCTGAAAATGATTTGTACCTCAGGTTTTTTTCGATATCTTAAAAATTTTCTTTTTTATAGATGTTTCTGTGTAAAACTTTTTAGCCAAAATCATTTTCTTTTTATTTGAAATGTTCATCATTTTTACACACATAAATACTTTTACAAACTCCTACGTACTTTGCTAACAAATGTCATTTAAAACTTAACGTCCACTTTAAATAACGGCAATATTCAGAGTGGACATAGTTATTGCCCCACCCTGTATATTATATACCATTTTTTTTTCACTTTTTTCTTTTTGTATTTATTTATGGTGGAAATACTTGAATTTCTCCAGTAAAACATGGAGATTTACTTCACATTAGTGAAACTACGGGTCCTTGCTGACAAACGTTAGATATTAATTGGTGACAGAATTTGACGCACTTTTAAAGGGCGTATTGCGTCGATATAACACTGGCCGTTAAAGGGTTAATGAAAAAGCATATCAATCGATTAAATTGATGTGGTTATTTCAATTACTGCAGCATAGTGTTATTATCAAACTTATAGTGACAATCATTGTCAAAATTATGATTACATATTAGTATGAACGTAATTACCTCCACTTATGACGACTTCCTTAGCCACAGAAACCCGATGAACCTTATCGTCGTGTACGAATTCCACGCCGACCGCCCTTTTGTTGTTGTCGAAAAGAATTCTGGTGGCCGTCGAGTTCAGCATAATGTCGAAATTCGGTCGATTTCTAGCTGGCCGAAGAAACGCTCGAGCGGTCGAAAGACGGGATCCATTTCTAGATGTTGTCTGAGCTATGGCGAATCCGGTATGAGTTCGTCCGTTTAGATCGACGGTTCCGTATCCTATAAACAATGATAAAAACACGCACCGATTTGTTATTCCAGGAATCATATTTCTTTTAAAATAGATCGAAGTGAATGGATTTTACTTCTTATGAATTCTTTTGAAATGGAAATCTTTCCTTTAATGGTAATTAAAAAGAATTCAGTTAACGTCTGCAATTCACTTGCAATTAACGAAAAAACTCATGTTTAATACGCCCCACGCGGCTTGAACGGGAAGTCTTCAAAAAACGGTCTGGCAGGGAACGTGTTAATACATAGTGCTCCGCAATGAGTTGTACAGGGGTCTCGTGATTATTGTCCCGAACTCGGGTCCGCGCTAGGACAATAATCGTGGACTACGCGAAACGCTTCTGACCCTTGTGAATACGTTTTTTGCCCGAAGCTCGAGCCACGGCAACTCGCCTTTGTAGTATTCCCAACATAGAAAAGGACAAGTGATTGGAAAACAAAGAGAAAGCTTCTGTTTCCACTCGACTCGACTGCGTGGCTCGCATGCGACGCTCTCGCCGATCAATGGTTACATCAGAGCTGCATAACTTCTGTTCCCGGAGTCGGTGCCCCACTCCGGGGGTACCCCCACTACTCGGCTCAAGCTGCCTCGTCCGCTACGTACTGAGCGTCGCATGCTACAGGCCTGCGGCCCGTACAGGGTGAGGTCTTATCGCTGGCGGTGTGGTGGGAAGACCTCTCTCCGTACGGGCCGCAAACCTGTAGCATGCGACGCTCAGTACGTAGCGGACGAGGCAGCTTGAGCCTCGTACTGGGGGTACCCCCGGAGTGGGGCACCGACTGCGGAAACAGAAGTTACTGTCCTCTCTTTCTAGTGCCGACTTCTCGTTCCAGACCGATCTAGAAACGATAAGACATGCACGTGATGCAGCGATACGAAGATTGCAACTTTGCATTGACGCAAATGGTCACCACTTCGAGCATCTCCTGTAACGTAAGAAAGTTTATTTTACTATCACATTTGACGTTGCATGACCTTCAATGACAGCTCGCTGAAGTCGTCTCAACACCGGCTATCACATCGCGATAAAAAAAAGAGAGTTGAAAATAGAGTTGACCTTGAAATCTTCTCTATGCCTTCACTCACGCAGAAAATGTGTGTGTCACAATATGCCCCCCTCTATACCGTGTAAGTTTTGTATATAACATTTTTTCATATTATTACAAATAACGGCAATATTCAAAGTGGACATAGTTATTGCCCCACCCTGTATAACTGTGATGAAAGCAAAGAAGTGTCAAATGGCAACAAATGAAAAATAGCATCAATGGTTTCAAAACGTTAAAATGTTCTTGTGAATCATTTATACGTCATGTAATATACGCAAAAATACAACAAAATATTTCTTTGGTAATTTTTAAATAATTAGGGAATGAAAGGGTTAAACGACATGTTGAAGTATCAGCTTTCAGAATATTCACATATTTTATTAGTTAGGGGCAGTGTTTTGCATTGAAAAGCACAAGAGAACCATTTACTTCAGAAATTCGAGATTACTTTGTGACCAATCCAATATTTATGAATTGTAACCGAATTTGTCCAGTTACAGATCGCAACATGGCGGGTTATATTCATTCGTAGCCGAATAATGTTCCCCGGTTGCACAATTCGACAGTGACGAAAAACCATCGGCGAAAATAGTGTTGCAATTAATGGCCGTGAGACATGCTGACGTAACAATTCTTTCGATGAACGTCGAAACAGTTCATTAGGACCTACAAGAGCAATACCAAGGAAATAAAGACGAAACAAGTTCTTCGTTAACGCGTAATACATAACTGGTTTTCTCTGATTCGCTTAAGTAGATCGTGGTTCTGTTACTATTTCCCTTGGATCAGTTTTTTTTTCAAGCCTGTTAATCGCTTCGTCTCGACAATGATAATTGCATCACGTTAGAGCGGAAGAAAAGGTAAAAATGTCTAAACTTATTTAGTTATATATGTATTGAACAATATTAGGTCGTTGTACAAGAAATGAGCGATTTTACTGACAGGTATATTTGATGTTACTTTTGTGAGAGAAAGTTATTAGCATAGCTTCGTTCTTTATTTAAAAATGACACAGTATACTCCACACGTTTGAAGATACTATCTAACATAACAATAAAGTCAATTATGTTACAGACTAAAGTTAATTAAGGTAGGGTAATAAGTTAATAGGTAAGTTAATTAATTCAGTTAAATCCAGTTATTTCCTCCACGTGAATTAAAATAATAATAATAATATTAATTTAATGAACATTTAAGTCAAATTCACAAATAACTTTTGGAAAGATGTATATACGTTTCTGTTAAAAAATACAGAAAACAAAGATGACAATTAAAACTTTCTTCGAAGAGTTATCTTCAAATAAAAACTTGAAAGTCATACTTGTATTTCAATGAAAAACGTGTATAGAGTTCATTTAATCTTACTTTTTCTAATAAAACTCGTATAACGATCAATATAGTATCAAATGGCAGTAATAAAATGATCATTTCGGGTACAACAATCTAATATTAATTTAGAAATATTATTTTCATACACCTAATATTCCTGGAAGAACATTATATCATACAAGAATCTTTAAATATGCTTTTCTCTTTGTAGTATTACAGCGAATGAGCTTTTTCGGAAAGATCAGTTATATCAAAATTGTAACTCTTTCCAATTTAATGTCATTGTCACAAAAATCGTGAAACATGATTTTCTCTTTTTATATTTTTTGTTAACAATTATTTGAAAATAACAAATCTAACAAAGTTCTCTTTAAGATATATATCTACGTTTATGGATTCGGTCTGGGTTAGGTGTCGTTTGATTGAAAAATAACAAAATGGCGACGCTTTGAAGTAAAAAGTTAATTTTTTTGTAAGAAAATGGCCGTTTATTTATGCGTGAGTCAGTTAAAAATTAAAATATCGAAAAAGTTATACATCTGACGATAGAAAATTTTGATTTTTTGTAGTATTCCACTGTTAAAGTTTTGTTTCAGAAACCTACTTATAGGAAAACACGTACACCGACCAGATGTACACGCTATGGCGTACTCTCGTCCGCCATATTTATTTTCAAAGAAACATTGTAAAAACATTTGTACGTACTACTCATACACGGTTCAGTCTTTGTTGGTAAATTTTGATCGAAAAAACTGCTTTTGTTATTTAGAAATAACATAAGAAAAATGCGACATTTTTTTAATACCTTATACCCATGCTATAATAACAAATACACAATGTGCAATAATAAGTAGTGGTATCGAAACCAATGATTGTTGATGTAATTTTTTCTGTTCATGAAAAATAAATACATAATCTTTATTTACCAAGTTCCTTTCCAGCCTTAAGAAGATCGTAACTTAAAGGTGGGTGATACGGAAACTGTGTAACCGTTAGAGGTCCACCAACACCATGATAACCATAATCCATAGTGTTAGCTTGAAGATTATCCTCGCTCCTGATGAAATATGGAAGGACATCTTGATAAGACCATCCCACGTTGCCAAGCCTGGCCCAGTCATCGTAATCCTTTCGCGAACCTCTCATGTATGTCATTCCATTCATGACGCTGGTGCCACCTAATACCTGATTAAATCCAAAGGATTACAATTATACAGTTATTCGACATAACTGATTATTTGGATTTATTGAGTATACCAATGACCAATTCAATATAATTCTTCATTAATATAATATTATAATTTAAATCAGGACTACTTTTCAGCGTTTTTATTGGTAAATGTACATACTGTATGAAGATTCGAGAGTGATTATCAATACTCTTAACACTAAAACTACCAAACCTGGCAAATAACGGTCTACACATTTCTTATTTTGCACTTGCCGAAATCATAAAGGTGCTTTTGTCAAAATCAATGTTGATCTTTAATTTCTTCTACATTTTAGATTATACTACCTACATTATTCTAAATTATATTATATTTTATATACATATAATACAATTTAGTTTAGTGTACATTCGACACGCTAGCACAGGTACTTAATTTCTTCAGACATAAATGCTGAATTTGTAAAAAAAAACAGTAAACATATATGTACATGATGTATGTACATATTACATTTGTAATTTATCACTTTCTAATGATTCGTCCACGATGCAATGAAAATAGTAAGTCTATGGTTGGTATGTACTTTGCTTCCAAGTACTAGATTCTTCTACTATACAACAATACTTTCGAAAATTCTAATCAAATCGATTTTATTGTGTGTAATGGTTGATATGTCTTAATGTGCTAATTTGTGGCGATGTAAGATGAGATCAATGACAAGATTGTTACAGAAAGCAAGCAGCTGCAGACTTCTCGAGGCCAAAAATGATTATAACTTGTGAATATGTTCTTTAGCCTTTGTTATACATTTTCCATACGAAATTACACGAATACTCTTTGTAAAGTCACGTTCGAAAATTTTGATCGTCGAAGCAACTTATATGACAGTCAGATTTGTGCAATTTACCATGTTTAGTTCCATAAGTTTAGGTCTTGTTAAACACTGTTATTAAACGATAAATTGATTGTTAATTATATACTTTTCCTCTTGGCCAGTAGCATCTTCGATCATTCTTATTTAGACATGCTCCGTCCTCGCTCTCCGTAGTATATTGCCAATCAATATTAGACCCGATGAAATTGAAGAAAAACGATGGTATTTGGGTTCCAGTCGGTTCATCCAAGCCAGCTTCCAGCAATAACACAGAGAATCGCGGTTCCTCCGATAATCTTGCAGCCACTGTAGCGCCAGCGCTGCCACCTCCAATTACCACGAAGTCGTACCTAAACATAAATATTCAGAGTTTTAAAAACATACTGTCATAAGTATGTAAATTTCGTTTACCCCGTTCATTCCCAGATTACTTAACAATTCCGAAATAAATATTATTTCATATTTTTGTTTATACATATTGCATGACATATAAGTTAATCACAAGAACACTTTAACATTTTGAAAGCGTTCAATGCCGTTTTTCATTCGTCGCCATTTGATAACTTTTTTTACTTTTATCACAGTTATATAAATACATAATAATACTTATCAGTTTTTCTTAACTTCTAAAAGAAATATTTGAAAGAAATTAAGGCTATATAAGTATTTACTGTACTTTTAACAATGCTCAACACTGAATTCTAATGAATGAAAGAAACTGCGGACAGTAATGTCGTACTTTACCGTTGACTTCTGAAATGCATATTAAAGTTTGTGTCATGCTATTTACAGTGGCTCATAAATGTGTTCACGGTAGACTGTCATGTTTATTTAACCAAATTACATATGAAACCGAAAATTTTACTTTAAAATTCAGAAAAGGTTATTATGCAAAGAAGGATAGTACAATTCCAGGTAACGCGAACAAATAAATAAGAATCTTATACAAAAATTTTACATTTGTTCTTTCGAAAGTATATGAACAAATCTGTGAGTCATTGTATATAAGACTAGAAGAAAATATTATATACTCATACGTATGAAAAATATACGACACTGATATGTATTATTTCGTAATTTATAGTTTGTAACCATATGGCTACAGTGGAAACGAAAGACATTAAATTTGGTTGACATTTAAAAATTTAATGTCAAACTGAATTTTATTTTAAATATTTTCAATAAGCTAGTATGAAAATAAATTTAAAACACGTGCCAGTACCCATATTAGTATATTATTATACAATTATAAGAATGAGTAAGTCATGTTTTTGAATATCTCCCATATGTTTGAATATCTCATAGATACTCGGGTAATTTTTGTAAACCCGGGTATCTCACGAATACCAGGGTACCCGGGTATCTTATAAAGTCACAGCTCTAGTTCAACCACTCATTTCTCGACTAGGAAATTATTTACTGAAATAATTATTCTGACGTAAATGTTTTCACATATTTCAAAGTATTTATAAATATAAGTATGTATAACGAAATAAATATATTAATCACGTTTTATTCTTATTTTTAACCAAATGAAACTGCCGGAGAGAGATAGAATGAAATTCTATTTATTTTTATTTTCGTAAATTAGACTACGTATACAAATTTGAATTTTCATAAATATCAGCACTGTACTCTTTACATTTGTGTTTTATGTTTATAAAGTATCGCTCGTGTAGGAGACTTTCTATGAGTTTCAGTTCTTTAACCTCTGCGAGTCAGTTCGATTAATTATAAATTTGAATGCCATTGGAAATGAAGTAACTTGAAGGCCTGACTGCTACCTAAACCGTAAGGAAACTTGTTTCGCTTGTTGTGCTAGTGGAACGAGTTTCGAATTACTCATGCAAATTTACAGCTTTATTTTACTCGTTTCGCTAACTGTAGAAGTTCTTTTCCTCTTCTACAAAGGCTTCTACAACATTTTCGCGATCGTTCTTCCAATACAGTTTGTAGGTATGATATAATTTGGACAGTACAATTTTAGATGTTTTCTCTTTTATTTAAGTATGTATAAATGTTATGTTTATATTTTATATAGTATACTGATCGATACCAGGTCAAAAATACGAGGTCACATGATTTCTTTCATCTACCATAGTAGAAGTAACTACTAATTTGTATCAATGTATTAGAGATATTTCGTTGATATTATTATTAAAGGGAATGGTACCTGAATTTAAACGAAGCTAAATAAATAAAATACATTTTTCTTGTGAAAGGTTTTCTTTTTGGTAAAATTGTTATAATATTATTATGTTTGAATATTAATAGTATAAATGTGGATTTCATCGAAATTGTTTTTCTGTTTGAAATTTAATCATCTATACTACTTTAAATGCCAATCAACAATTAACCCGCTAACTCCAATTTATTCACTACAATGGACGCTTGATTTATCACTTTAGTGACAGTGTTTGAAACATTGCTTCATTCTTTAAATGCCATCCAAACATTAGAAAAACGGTGTGAGTACGACTACTAGTTCGTTACTTAGCGTGAGCCAACATATTGGTCACAAAAAGAATTTTAAGAAGTGCATTAAATAATCCCTAAATGACTATTGGCTCTGGATTTTATGAACAAAATTTTTATTTCAGATACCAAAAAGATACAGTAAGAAGGTTAATACTGATTAAAAAAGAGCAATTGGTACATATTATTTTGTTCAGGAAAAGGACAATACATAGTGGACGAGAGCAACTTGGTAATGTCAAAAGAATAAAGATCCATATGAATAGATATACATTTTTCCTAATTTCTAGTTATAATAATAAAATATTTAAACAGAATAATAACTACTAATGGTAAGATTGATGTTTCAGAATATGTAAGAGATTAAAATTTATTGTAAAGCGTTATGGATCAATGTAAATGAAAAAAAGAAAGAAGGAAATTATTTATGTCTTAACCTAATATTTGTATCGGAAATTATAGCTTATATTTTATTTAGTATACTGATCGATACCAAGCCAAAAATATGAGGTCACATGATTCTCGTTAAAACTTATTATAGGAAGAACTCATAAATATTAATTCTGTTATAATTTACCTGTATCAATCGTTATTCAATATTATCATCTTAAATACTTCAGTACGCATGATTAATAGTGATAATGACAGTGGCAACTTGAAGAAAGGAAAACCATTTTGGCTGAAGAATGTAATTCTGTGCCAACGAAACAGGTTTTCATAATCAAGTTAGGTACCGGTTCGATATTCGTATTTTCCGTGTGTTATTCTCGCCACTGCCAATAAACGATAGAATTTATATCTTCGTACGAAAAATAGAATCATCTTTCGATAGTTATTGGAATTTCATTTGAAGCGTGAGCTTGTTAGAAATTAGTTTTTTCACGAGGCTTGTATTGTGTTGGGGCAAAGCACTATCCTAAAGAATAGTTTATAAACTTTGTGTTTCATGATCGATTCGACAGCGAGTGAAGGCGATGAACAGCTGAATATTAAGTAAGAGGATAAGCTAAGTGTGTGAAAAAGTGAAAGTATGTAAAAACAAGTAAAACGGCGACAAGTGATTTCACAAAAGTCATGTACATAAAAATGTCACTACATATTATCATGATGAAAGAATGATCGCGTACAGTGACTGTGACGCAATGATAGTTGTGAAAGTGAAAATAAATTTATTTGGAAATATGACTTTTCGAAACTTCTACTTTTAGGTTTTGAACAATGTCATTGTGAATATTATTCACTAACAAACTGTTTTTCGTGAAAATGCATTTTCTTTCTGCGATTTTAGCAGTAAATTGTTCACAATTGTAGCGTGCTTTACAATTATTATGGCCCTTTGTCCAAAAATTAAAAAAAATTAAAAAATTGTAAATAGTTTTTATGTTTATGACTGTATTGTATCTAGTTAGGAATCATGTAGTCGTTTCAATGATGAAGTTGTGAAATTGCAAAACCACTTTGTCAATTGATGTAGAATAACTTTGTACTGACTTCATCCACAAACTATATGCCATTTATATATATTTGTCGATCTTTTAAAATACATACTGAGAAGCTAAGGTAATTAAATAGTGAGAAATACATAAATTCATGTATTTAGATAACCATTCTCATTGCCTTTCTTCTTTCCTTATCGTTCCTTTCAGTCGCATCGACTTCTCGAGCATTAGCCACATAGGTACCTACAGAGGTGGTACAATTCTAGATTAAGTTAGATTTTCTGGTATAGATCAGAGTTTTTGAGGAATTTGATTGTGTTTTCTCTGTGGTCCCTGGCTGTTACGTTTACCTTTGATGGAGTTTACCTTTCTATTACGCTACAAATACAGCAGAAACAATTTTGCATATTTTCTAATTATAGCAGAAATAATCGTAACCTTAACCTGTTTAAGCGGCCGTTTATCAGCGTCCAACCTAACAGTAACACGTTCCGCAAATATGAAACATTGTTAGTCACATATACAGGGTGTCTCAGCTAACTTGATCATCTCGAATATTGACGTGACGGTACACTTTATGAAAATTTTGAGGCATAAAACTTAAATGGAATCAATAGACACATCTTATAAGGTGCGTGGTTTTTTTGTGGGTGGAGGCATTTTAGAAATTTCAAAGTCCCTTTGATTTTTTTTAACGGAATGACCTAGTTTTTGTACCATAGACCGATAGAATATCAAAGTCTGAGTAAAAATGTGTTGACCTTCATACGTCCTAAATCTAATAGTTAACGAGATATTTACAAAATAATTTTTAATACGTACTTACTATCTACATAGAAGCTATAACCAACTGGTGGGGGCGCCACAAATGTACAGGTTTTCCGCCATCTTGGAATTTACAAAAAGCGCGGGAAAAATGGGACATTTTGTGGCGCCCCCACCACCTTGGTGGCGAAAATTGGAACTAATTCTAAAACTTTTTTTTAGCAGCACCAACTGGTGGCGCCTTTGCGAACTATCGTTCTAAGTTCTGGAATTAGTTCCAATTTTCGCCACCAAAGTAGTGGGGGCGTCACTAAATGTCCCATAAATTCCCAAATTTTTTCGGCACATTTCTGAATCCAAGATGGCGGAAAAATTTGGGAATTTATGGGAAAATATGAGATAGTCGTAGTGATAGACTTAATAAACAACATATGTACCACTTAACTGTTTTTCATTGAATAAATCTGATGAAAATACACAATTTACAATAGTATTTGAATAAATTTCACAACAATTGCCTTAAATATTACTTACATATATACGAGTTTACAATATATTTGTAACAATATGTGCATAAATTCAGTAAAACATGGCTTACATATTATTCAGACTTATAACAATAAAAATAATTCCCTTTTCTGTAACTTGTAAATCTTCCGTACGATATTCAA